CATTCATCTTTGTAGTTTTTCATTACTGTAAGGTTTGTATAGTAATCCCTTTACTTTTGTTCTGTTTTTTTATGAATTTTATTTCAATATCTTTCTTGTTTGTTTTTTGTAAGCTTGTTCCATATTCTTGTAAGCTGTTTTTCTATATTTCATATATGGGGGAATTCCTATGAATTTGGTTGTTTTCACTTTCTTTATTATCTTATTAATTGTGTTGATAAGTGTTATTTTTATAATTTAGTGATTTATCAATGACTTTTTCTGAAAAAAATTTTAAACCTTTAAAGTAAGTTAAAATATAATTTATTTCTTCTCTTCATCTGGATGGACAGAGGTGGAAAGCAGTGTCTTATAATCTTCTTAGTATATCTATATTTTTCCATTGATCTGTGACTCAGCATTAAGTGTGAGGACTCACTGCTAAAATCCAGGTTTCAATACTCGTGGTGAACATGGAACAAATAGCCAATTGTGTAAATTTGTTGGGATCTGTTGTTAGGAAGTTTATGGTTATTGCTTTTTGCTCTTCAGCTGTGAGTTTCATGTTAAGATGGATGAAGTTAATGTGTTTAAAGTAGTAGTTTTCTTCATCTTGGCAGGGAATATGACTGAATTTCTTTTGTTTCTAAAGAATCCATGAATACATTTACTAGAGTGGGCGATAGAGGGTTTTCCCATGCTATATCAATTTTGTTGATTTAATATTGTCCTAAGAATTCTAAACAGTTTTAATGCAAAATTAAATGTGTTTAACTCCATAGAATTAAGATTTTTTTGTTTTTATTCCATCTTCTATTACTGATTCATGCTACCAGTTACAGAAGAATGAAATCCCCTTTTGTTTTAAGAATGGTTACTGATCTTTGCATGATCACCCAATGTTACATATCAGGACCATTGAATGTCCTAGCAAGTTAAGTTATCTATCTAGACCCAACTCATTCATAGACTAAAATCAATGTATCTGAACATTTCTTCTTTGTAAAGTCTTTTGGTTTGTTTGGTAATGAATATTCCTCAGATACTTCAAAACCACAATTTGGTTTTAATTATATTATCATATTAACCGTAATAATGTTTACTCAGTGAATCAAAACAAGTTACATTTCTTCCTGTATCTAATTCCCAACTTATCCACAATGTTTTTTAGTATAAATGCAGGTCTGTAATGTACCAAGTTTTTCTTTACTTTTAGATTGCTGAATAAAATTCATTGTAGTTCATTGCATTGTACCATGACTTTATATTGGCTGTAGTTGTCATGTGATTTGCTGATTTGCTTATTGTTTTTATAATCATTTTAATATAACATACTCATCTCTATTTTTCAATCACCAGTGTTATTTCTTCATCCAAACAAATATTTTTGTCAATATCTCTTCTCACTCCTACAAAAGTCTCATTTTTTTGTTCTTGAAGAAATGAAATCAAGAAAGTCAGATCATTTGTTACATTTCTTTGTTACACATTTCTTACCCCAAGTTAATGATACACTAACATTATGACTGATACTTAGATAAAATATATTTATTTAATATAATCTGATTATAGCTGTTTCAAGTCAACATTGTATGTAAAGCTTTGGACTGTGTTAATTATAAGTTACTATTTTAATACATGTGTCATTATTGTTCAGAAATCATTCACCATTAAGTATATACATATTCAGGCTGCAGCTAAGTAAATAAATTTTCCCCCTTAATGGTCTGTGTCATGCCCATATCTTAAAAACAATTTGTCACAACGTTTATCAGTTAAAAGAACCAGCTATAAATATAGTCATTTTCTGCAATAAATTCTTATTAAATGGTTATTTAGAAAAGTTTAACTTAAAAAATTATAACATGTTGAATATATATTCATCAAATTTATGGTGAATTTTCAAAAGCCCCATGATCCTTGAAAGTAGAATAATGTTAAATCGAATTTATGTAGTTGCTGGTGGATAAAGCCAGTTTTCTGGATTGTCTTATGTAATGGTCAAAAGCAATACATTTCTGATTAAATAAAACATTGATTTGCTGTATCATATCATATATATACACATACATACATACACAAATGATTATATGTTCATTTTTACAGAGATCCATAAAAGAAGTGCAGTCTTTCAGTAAGTATATTTCTTTCTATAAACTGATCTTTTTTCTTTCTCTGTAAGTTACTAGGATATAATTTGGTGCTTAAAAGATAGATATTTCAGTATACTGTTTTATAGTTTAGTAAAAAATGAAAATTGCTTTTAAAAGTAAAAACTTATAAACATTTTAATTCAACCAATACATAATCATTGTAAATGGCTTTTTTAATGACTAATTTTAGAGTAATTTGCCAAGTAGTAAAAAAAAATGTTTGTGACATATGGTTAGAAAACATTTTTATTTTTTGCTCAAAAGTTTGTAAAATGTCTTTTCTGAACATGTGAACTTCTTTTGTTTTTTAACTTCCATCTCTTAAGTATTTTTAATGTAATCAGTGAAAATATTTTCCTTCATGTTCTAATGGCTTTTAAGGCATACTAACACTTTTGGAAACATATATGTAAATATACTAAAGCTTTTTGGACCTCTGGACTGTTTATCATGTTTGTCAAGAGTTCTCACCCATGCTAGACCACCAATGTGTTTTAGTTCACAAAGACATTTCTAAAGTGTATATCTGCAAGTAGGGTGGAATTTGATCTCACAGCATTTGGTTTGCTGCAGTCTCTCCTCTCTTCATCTTTGACTTCATTCATATTATATCTATCACCAAGTCTGTCTTACATCAAATGTTATGAGTATTCGTGTAGATTCTCTACTCTGAGATCATTGGTCTCTTTCTACAGAGTGGACCCTTCACTTTTTCAGTGGTTGTGTCTATAACTTTTTTGTTCCTTTTCTTTAATAAAAGTAGTTTTAAATGTGATTACTTTTTTCACAGTAGAATTAATTTTTGTTTATGCATTTTCTTAGACTTAGAGCTTCCCAAAACATTTATTTGTATAAATAATGCTTGTGTTAGGCTCAAAGCATATTTACAGAAATAATATGTGCCTATTATGCTTTTATTTTCAGTGGAAAAACATCCCAGTTTTCGTCTTCCTTTGGAATACTTCACATATGCTAAATATTCTGTTTATCATGAGCCTTTAGAGATTCACAGATTAGCCAGTACAAAATCTAAAACATTAGAAATTATCTCTTCTACTCCTACTAAGAGGAAAAGAGTGTCCACCTCCATAACTCCAGAAATTAAAGTGCCAGTACCCAAAGCAAAAGAAACACCAAAAAAACAATTGGATGGTAGTGTAACACCTAAAACAGAAAAAAGGTGTATTCCAAAAATCAAGCCTACACCCACAGCAACAGGCATACGTAAAAAAAGTTTGGATAATATTGTATCTAAAGGAGGAAACAAATACAGTCCAAGAATCAAGGATACACCCATAGTGCAAACAAGCGCACAAAAGAAACTGTCAGATCGTGTTTTCACATCTAAAGGAGAATTAAGATGTGGCCCACGAATTAAGTATACACCCATAGTGCCAAGAAGCACACCAATAAAACTATCATATGGTATTCTCAAACCTAAAAGAAAAAAAAAATGTGGTCCAAAAATAAAGTTTACACCCATACGACTTAAAGAAGGTAAATCTTCACCACAGATCCAATATTTTTTGCAGTCTGTCATAAAAATCCCTAAAATCTGTATTAGGAAATTAGATTCAGAAAAAAGTGTGCAGGCACAAGATAAGATGCAGATCAGTGCAAGCAATAATGTACAGGATGAAGATAAGATGCAGATCAGTGCAAGCAATAATGTACAGGATGAAGATAAGATGCAGATCAGTGCAAACAAAAGTATACAGGATGAAGCTAAGAAGCAGGTTAGTGCAAACAAAAGTTTGCAGGATGAAGTGAAGCAGATCAGTTCAAACAAAAGTATGCAGGAAGAAATTAAGACACAGATTAATGCAAACAAAGTAAAGAAGCCAAAAGCTAGGAAGAAGATTAATCCAAAGAAAAATGAGCAAGTAAAACATAAAAAGCATCAGAAAACTTTCTCTTTGTGAGTATTGTTTTTGAGACTTATCTTGTGCTATGTAACACTTGGTAATTAGTAGGTACAAATACACCTATAAGAACTTTACCCTTAAGTTTTTTCATGAATCTAATATTTTGTAAAATCAATTCAAAACAGTTTTTGTGAGTTGTTGTTTTTTCCCTTTAACCCTCTTCGTGCAAGCTCAGTTGATTTGACAATGTTCTAACTCTAACGTGACCATCAGAGTTTCCATACTATAACTTTTAATTTGTTTTGTATATTTTTACAAAATTTGGCAAGCTTTCAGTAAACATTACAAGTCTTTTGTACGCAAAAAAAAATCCAGATTTTTAAATTGAGTCTTTTTACTAAAAATTTGTCCATGAATATATGGAGTCTACTGCTCCAAGTACACAGTGATTTTCATGTTAAGATTAAAAATACTTTCCTTCATCTGAAAATCGTCAGATTTCTTTGGGTAATCTTTAGAACCTCCTAAATATATATCAAACTTTTCTTTTTGTTTTGTTTTTGATTAAAATTGTTTTTTCTTTTTAGAATAATTATAAATTGTAATTATATACTACAATTGTTTATCCTAAATAGCTTAAAGCTTGTATCAAGACTATAAAAATTATGCTTTGCCTGAGTAATATCTTTTTTCTAATGAACAATTTATGTTAAATTTTGTACTTCTCAGAGGAGTGGTAAATAAATTAAAAAAAGAGGGAAGACATAGAGAACAGGTGTCACAATTCTCATACTAGGGTAGATTGAGGATTTTTTTAAATATTTCATTATAAAGTTAAGAACTCAAAACTTGTATTAAAATTTGATTCAGTTGCTATGTTTTGATGCCAAGTTTATTTATGTATAGTGATAATAAAGTAGTTTAATTAAATTGAATATAATTCTCTCAAAAGTCGTGACATGCACACTTTGACCTACCCATATTGAGAGGGTTAAAGAGTTTAAATCATGACATTTTTAACTCTTGCATGTAAGAGTACCTAAGTGACCTGATTTTTTGTCAGGTTACACATACTGACCAATTGACAACAGTAATATCTTTGATGTTTAGGCTATCCAAGATCAAAGTTCGTTCATCTAAAGCCATTCTGTGTTCTCTACACTGTATGGGTCGGAACTATGAGCTCCCCTCCCTTCACTGTGGAATATGCCTCTGTCTGTTTCATCCAGAGTGTGTTGGTATTCCTCCCTCAAGCTGCTCTTCCATTTTTATATGTCAGGTGACTAGTTTATTTATTCATGGTTGCACTTTCTTTTAATTTCCATATGTATAAAATGAGATAGCTGAGTTTATTTTGTTGATGGTATAGCACAAAGACATTTTTTTACTTAACCACTTAAAGATACTCAATGTAATACTATATGATACCTTTGGAATAACATTAACAATATTAAATTTGTTTCTTAAGAATTTAAAATTGAGATGGGCAGGATTCAAGCCTCTGTGTTATCTGAGTAGTTACTTTAGTGAACTAGCCTATAATGTTCAAAGTGGCACACTCAATTTTTACTTATTGATTCTAAAGGCTATATTTGGCAATACACTTGAGCTGTGCTAATTAGCTTATAAGAATCTGTATCTTCTCATTTTTTATTGAAATTGTTGATGTTAATTGATTTAACCATTGATATTTTAAAGGTGGCACCCCATATTTATTGAAAACATGTAAACAGATCAGATGGTATTTGAATTCAAGACCCTGTTATCTGGGTAGTTGTTTTAGCAATTACTATTTTTTGAATGCTATAAATCTCGGTTTTCTCGTGAGTGGATATTAGGAACATAATTTGGTAGTGCCCTTGAACTATATCTGTTGACTTGTAACATATCAAACAACCATATTACTACCAGCATAAGATAAATTGCAAATTTATTAAACACACTACAAGTTTTTCTAAGTAAAAGTGATCAATAATCAACAAGCTGTGCCTGACCAGGATTTTGTCTCATTGTTAGTACTAGATGTACTTCCACAGGGTCTCCAAAAGTGTTATTTTTTAAGAGTAAATGCAACCAAAATTAAAAGTAACAAATATTTTTATTTCTTGCATTTGAAGTTCATATGTCATGCTGAGTTGTAGACCACAGAGTGCATAATTGTTCTTGTAATTCATGCCATGTGCCTGTTTTACTGACATCATAACAGTACAAACTGCAATGTTAAGTATCCCTTACGTGCCCACATTTTGGTGTTTTCTGACTGATTGACAGACAACATACTACTGTATAGTCGTGCAAGTGGTTAAAACAGGTGACTCCTCAAGGCAGCCTCAAGTTTCCTTTTAGGGAAATTAAATCACATCAAGTAATAATAACAATTAAAAGAATCAGAAGAATAAAAAATGTAATTTGTAACATTATACAGAAGAACACTTATCTACAATAACACAAATAAGGATCAAACAAATATCTACAAAAATCTTTCTTTTAATAATCAACAAATATATCTAACACATCTCTAGCCCAACTTCTCATGACAGTCTCACTTTAGTTCAGATTGTACGCTTTTTATATTCTTGCAAGACCACAAGATTATATATCACATGACTAACAATTTAGCATTTGTTTTACATAATCATACATTAATCTAGTATCTATACATCACTGCAAGGGAGTCTTCTATTGTTTTTTTAAAAGAAAAGACTAATTTAATGTACACTAGAAGGCCTGTGAGCTTACCTTTTAAAGCAAATAAAAATATAGCTGAACTAAATGGTAGAAGGAGAAATACATAAATGATAAACAAAACCATTACTAAAAGTAAACTGTCACTTCATTTTCAGTTCCCAATTTTCCTGTGATTAAACAAATACCTTATTCTCCAACCCTAGGAACCAAATACATTTCAGGTACAGATATGTGTGTGACAAAAGGTATCTTCTGTCTGGTCTTCCTTTGGTTCTAGCTCTGTTTCAGCTTACTGGAAAAGTTCATCACTATTTCCCTAAAATACTTTGTGCATTTGATTTCAATGTATTGCAATACCAATATTCATAACACTTAGCGAATTTCAGCCTATCAGAAATAGAAATAATAGTGTAATTCCATGTACTCTCTTTACAGAACATTTAAATGTGATATCAAACTCTTTACTATTTCTCATTTAGTAGCTTCAGAGTTCCATAACTTCTTTAATTTTACATTTTACCAAATATGTATCTGTAGTTTTCCTCTGTATTTGAAGTGTACCTTTTACTGAAATGTTCGTGAGCTAAATCAATTTTAGCTTACAGAGCTAGAGTTAGGTTAGTTAGGTTATTCTCTCCAGTTTTCGAAAACTATTTCTGATCCTAGCCTTTCCCTCTGACATGAGGCTGCAATGTCCACCTATCTACTCTCAGGTATGTAGTAAATTTGGGAAGATGAGAAGTCGCATATCACTCAAGAAAGAGCTGGACGATTAGTGGAATTTGCTAATTGATTAATTGTCTGGCTCATTAATCAATAACATTCAAATAATCATCTATTCTCACAGGAGATTAATCTTCCTATTTTCATATAGTTTCTCAGTAAAAATAAAGTTATTATTTAGGATGGGTAGAAAAATTCTAAAAAAATTTACAGTTGCGTTGTTTACAGGCAAAACTCCTTGGAACAATACAAAAATGAAAATTTTAACATTTTGTTAAATTTTTCGTCATGAATTACACTAAATAAATGTTAGAAAATAACGTTCTAAACTATTTTTAGGTTAAAATTTTTGAAATAAAAGTTGAATTAACATCTGGAATTGACTTAACATTTGTGGCAAAAAAATTCATTAGGAAAAAGGACCTATCTTTAGATTTAATAACTTAGGAGTAAATTACTTTGTTCATCCTAAACTGTTGTACATGAAAATGTATCATACATGCAATGTATTACAAAAGCTGTATCAACCAGAAAATATGATTAATAGCATTCTGGTTGTTTCTTCCTACAGATTTTTTTAAATTAACTTTTATTAAATATTATTACACTACAGTCTAAGATACCAATATCAAAATATATAATGTTTTTCATGCATTCGAGCAGTTCAAGAATTAAGTGACTTCCAGTTTGTTGGTTTCATATCTTTTCTTTTAGTAAGCAGGCATTGAATTGTTTCCTTGTTATAGTATATTTACTTTCCAGAAGGCCTAAAAGTTATAGTTTGATGACGAGAAACCCGTTTTTAGAAAATATAGTTTGGAGATGGCTTAAATAGGTTCTTTACAGTATTATCATTTATTGACATATTCCATACATTATATATATGTCATTTATGTGTTTGCAATGCAAAGTACCAAAATTTGAATTAATAGAATAATCATCTTCAAACTTACTATACTTCTATATTCGATGCCAAACCTGTTTTCTTATTATCTTTCGTCACTGTGGTTTACGGATATTTAAAGTCATTCATGTATTCAGTATTCCTTTTCATTGCTTTCCCTTATTCTCTAAGCTCATCACTTCTACATACTTTCATAATCTTTATTTTTTCCTCACTTATTGTTAATGACAATGCTAAGTTTGTGAATGCTTCTTTGATTTCAGCCATAATGTGTACACTATTTGCATATGCAAGTAGATTTATAATTTGATTATGGTTATTACGTCTCAGGCTCACTCCCTGATACCTATGCAGAATATCTCTTGCTGCTTTCTCTATTGCTGTATGGAAGAACAATGGTAACAGGAGGCATCCATGCCTTAGGCCACTCTTCACCTTGAAAGAGTTTAAGTTTTTCTCACCTGCACAAAACACTCACTCCCCTCATAACAAACATTAACCATTTTTATTAGTTTATTTGGAATTTCAAACTCTTTCATTATCTTCTACAGAGTTGACTAACATGTATATAGTCATACGCTTGCATGAGTGACACCTTGGCAAACATAATGAGTGGTATTGCACTTATGTGTCATTGAATATCATTGTTATAGATTGATAGTTTGAGAATTTGTTACTCAAGAAACTAAAGGATGCTAGTATAGTTCCTATCAAAAAACTGAAAAAAACGTGCTTTAAAAAATAAAGTTTCAAATTCTTTAGTGTTGGGTAAATGAAGTTGTGAAATGTATACAAAAGTATGGGGAAGCAACATATTATAAAGTATTTACTAAGACTTATATACAACTAAAAATTGGGTTTTGATACCCATGGTGGGTAAAGCAGAGATAGCTCATTGTGCATCTCTGCACTTAACAACAGAAAAAACAGTTGGAAAAAATAGCATAATAATGATAAAATTAAAACACAATTATCATTAATATATGTTAGTATAAATTTACTACATGTAATTTAGAAAACATTATTTAGTTCTAGCCAAGATGTATGGAATTTGCAGAAAATAAAATCAGTATATGAAACAAGGAGCTGAAGAAATTTGAATTTTCAAATTTATAAAGAAATAAAAGGAGACATGTAGAAAAAATTAGTTATATCAATAACCAAGGCTGCTATTATATTCCAAGTCAAACCATTATTTAATGATAAAAATGTGTATTAAATCAGCATTGAATAAATATTTAACTAGTATTGATGAACTTGAAAATATGAATTTAAAATCAAACATTATGAGTATTTCAGGTAAAATCTTCCTACTATTAAAAATATAGTTAATGTGTTAATGTTTGCTTGTAATCTTGCATATTCAATGTATAATTATTACTATATTTATTTATTATAGTTGATGTTTATTAAAGTAAGATTAACTTCCTAAAACAACTATAAACCACACTCAAGTAAGTTGTGACTATATAATATGTGTTGTAACATTTTTTGTTAATGTTTCGATAAAGATTTTCAATTCAAAATTCATTATAATGTTGACTTTTTTTTTACTTAACATAATTTCAAGTTAATTCTTATCAAAGTAACATTGTGTGGAAAGTTTTATTAGGAAATTTGCTCACACAAGTAACAAGTGAAAATATTGCCAATTGCAGAAACATATGATCAAGTTATCTAGGCATTTTTGAAACAAAGCTTAAAACTTTTAGGTTCGGTGCCTTTTTTTTTTCAGGTTTGATTGAGCTACTACAAACATTTGTTTTCTTGGGTCATATGACAGCTTTATTACAATCACATACAATTTATACATAAGTGATTATGAAGTATATTTTTCTGGTGTTTTTCTATACAGTATAAAATACAATGCTTAAGAAGTTGTGTTTGTTCTTTTTGTTACCTTAATAAAATGATTGATACTTGCAAATTTTAATACTATATTAATTTATTGATTTTTTATTGTTTATTTAAAATCAATTAATACATTTAAATCAGTAATTTATCACATGGTTTAAAGGCTGACATGACAGAAAAGATAAGTAAAACTGTTTCATGAGGTTTGCCTGTTGGTTCAAGGCATACCAATGGCTGCCACATCGTCTACTGACACTCAAATTCAGGAAGGTAAGAGATGTGGTGTTAAAATGTAACACATACACAATGTAAAAAAAATAGAACTTATAGTTTATTTAGCACTAACTAAAACATTTGTACAAATTATAAAATATTGTAAATCTGTAATTTTCAATTGTGTTCAATATTAAAGAATACAATTGTACAATTATAAATTAGAAACAAAACATAATGTAAAAAACAGTAAACACTTATTTAACACAAAAGTAGCCAAAGATTTTATGGTGGGTGCTGCCAGCCAGTTATCTTTCCTTTAGTATAATCATAAACCATAATTTCAATTAGTTAATTATTTTTGTGAGTCTTGAAACTAATGATTAATTTGAACAAACTTGAATTAATTGAAAATATTAATGAGAAACCATAAAGGGCAATATTTCAATTACTTTAATAGTTGGAATAATTAAAAAGAGTAGTAATTGGAAACACTTTTACTTGGTATTAATCGATGCTCATATTGAGTTAATTGAGTTAACTGCCCAGCTCTACTTGGGAATGTGCATGAATTTCATCATCAACCAGTAATTGGTGTGCTGTTTTTACACCAAAGATATGCAGTCTTTTTCTTCTTACAGTTGAGGCCTAATGATGATATTAGTATGTGTTTCTAACAATACAAAAAAAACAACATGGAAAGACAACATAAAGCAAGTAAAAAATTGTTTTATGGTATTCCAGAGTGATAGGATTCAACAAGTTTCATCCACTTAATTTCACTTTAATGAATATTTTTTTAAGCTGTAATTTTTTTTTTCCAAAGCTGATTTTGCCCTAGGATTTATTTTCAAGGTAACTTATAAAGATAGAGAAAAAATTCTCACTGTAATAATAAAAATGAAAACTATGTACAGTAATATTTAGTTTGTAATGCTCCATTCATTTTTTACAGTAGTTCTTTTTTAATGTATTCTTTGTAAAAGATATTTTTTGAACCACTTAGTAAAACAAAATTATAACTTTACTTCCACAAATATTTTTTTTTGTATCTTTAAAAATAATATGATAACAATGTTCACCTACTGCTAACTTTTAGTGAAAGTAGTGAAAAAGCAAAGTCATCTGCAGAAAGTACAGACATCTTTTCTTATAGTTTTGCAGGAAAAATGTTAAAGGAAAAGTGTTGTTTCTTCCATCTGGTGATCGCCCTTTCATGCCTCAAGAATTTCAGTTCTTGAATCAAACAAAACCATTACATAATGGAAAAGCTGAGGAAGAAGCATTGACACCTGCTAAACCACCTGCTGAGAGTAATATACGGCCAAACACAACCATTCCTCTTCCAGAAGTGGTGCTTACTCAAGATCCCTTTGCTAAAGAAGGGAGCATCAGAAACAACACCCCAAAAGCAACTGTACCACTCAAGACATCCCTTGCTTCTTTGAGCAGTTTGGAACTTCAAGCTATCCATCCATTTCCTGGTGCCCCAGTAAGGCATAGTCTTCCACAGGGACAAAAATTCATACATAGAAATTCTCTTGCAGGTGATAATATGGGACAAGTTTCAAATGTTTCTCCTGTTTCCAATAGTGATGGGGTTCATGGCTCTGTTGTGCAAAATGTGCTTTTTATGCCTGTACATACTCAGACTTCTTCTTGTAGACCAGCATCTGTTCAAGTAATTCAGTCTCCATCACATGTCATTGGTAGTGTTTCTGGTGCAGTAGTAACCTCTCTTCCACTTTTGTCAAGTTCTTCTCCTCATCTATTGCAAGCACTTTCATCCCATCCTCTAGTTAGAACTGGAAATGAAGCTATTGTTGATGCTGGTAAATCCCAACTATTTCAAAGAACCCAGAAAAATGTACTTTCACCAGCCCATAGTACAGTTGCAAATACGCCTTTGTTACCAGATGGGTTCCTTGTTACTAACCCTGTAGGCAAACCAGTAACTGAGAATACTAATTTACCTTTACCCATTTGCTCTGGTTCCTTAAAGCTACAGCCAGTAACAAATTTAGTCACATGTTCTTCGGGTAGTAACATCTGTTTGACTCCAACCGTGTCTGTAGTACCTTCTTCAAGTATAGCAGTTCTGCCTCAGGTTCTCCCCTTGAGGGGGTCTGTGTGTTCCACAATCCCTTTTGCTTCAAATAGTTCCACTTTCAGGGTACAAATACAGAAATCTAATCCTGTCCATTTATATAAGATTGACCTTTCTGGGAGAAAGTGGTTAGATAACATGAAGACTACTAGTACTACAACAACAACAGTGTCAGACAAGAACAGTTTTGCAATGTCTAAAACAGTAGCTGTTGAAAAGAAGACTGAATCTTCTCTTACAGAAGAAGTACCACAAGCAACTATTCCATTTGTGAGTAGCCACATAGAAACACCTTCACCATTACCTAAAGAAGATTTAATGGTTCTAGAAAGTGAAGCACCTAGTGTGCAAACAGAGATTGAAAAACATAGTGTGCAATCAGAGATTAAGCTCAAAGAGGTTAAAGTTACTCTTGTCAAACTCCCAGAACGCATATACAACTATTCTGTGAGGAGTCAGGCTTCTAAAGAAACTCTAAAAATGCAAAAACCAAAACCGTCACTCTGTTATATTAATCAACTGGTTGGAGGCTTTGATTGTATAAATTATATATTCCAGTATTTAGGAGTAGCGGATCTTCTCAGGTGAGTACTTTTTAAGTACGTTGTAAGATTTCATCACACTTGAGTAATTGTTTTGTATGGGCTCTTGTGCATATCTGTGTGTGTGTATATATATGGATCTCAAACAACTTTGAAGTACATACCAAAAAGGTTATAATTTGAAAAGTAGTATAAATCTCTAGTTCGTTTATTTTTCTTATGAATTTGTTCTTCATTTGTTTTTTAAACTAAACCTAAAAACAAACTGTCACAAGATGTTTTTCATAATAGTTAACTTTGTTATGCTAGTAACATAAGAATAGTTTGAAGATTGCTTTTACATTTTGTATATAAACTTGTTTTAAAAGTACACAGAAACCAGTCAATTTGTATATGGGTTTGCTAGTGTATAACCTGAGTGCAACAACATGCTAACCTTTATGGTATAGGTTATGTATAGAAACAGACATTGGCTGTTAAAATTGAAACTGACTAAAACATTTCTATTACGATTATGCTAAAAGCTCTTAGCCAGAATGAAGTGTTATGCAATTACACATCCTTATACTGTATGTTTTAAAGTAAGAGAGTTCTAGTATAGTGTTGATCAAATGTTGAGGTCACACCACCCATGACATCAGGGAAGATGGAGTTTTTTCATTCCTTAAATAGTCGATTTTTGGCATTTTTGATTGCATCAGTATATTTGATATAATGTTTATGCTAATCATTTGTTGCTGTTTAACAAATGTATTAATTACATGTTAATTCTGATATTAGTCATGAAAAGTTATATTGCATATAATTCAACTGAAGTAAGAAATATGAAACACAAGGTTGAGTAATTTATAATTTCAGAAAACATCAGTTCTTTCTTTATACATTTTGTTATAAATCATAGTTATACTCTAGTTATTTTAAACAGTAAAGTATATCTACTAATTATTATAAAAGAACTGATGTGTGTTTATATATTGTATTGTAATAATATTCATACTAAATACATAATCATCAAAATCAGAACATAAGAGGTAATCTGTATATAATTTTAAATAAGATATCTTTCATATATACTGTAATTCTTAAAGTGGAAGTTTCTACTCTTTTATACTTGATTTAAAATGTGTTCATCATTGGCAGTAAAATAGTATTATCACACTATAACGTATAAAAATGAAGTTCAACATAATGAATTTTTAAATGCAATTCTTAATTATATCAGGTTACAATGAACTTTGCACACTTGAAGCTATGACTATGCAAGTATAAAATAAAGTTGTACATATATAATATATAAATGAAATTTTATATTAAAGTTTTTGTCACATGAAGTTATAATAAATTATGCACTCTTGAAACTGTGAATAAACAAACAAAATTAGCAGTTTTGCTTATATCAGTGTACCGAATATTATTATTTCTAATTTTTAGGACTGGTTTGCACTTATTAGTCATTGTATAATTATAATGTTGATAAAACATACAGGTTATGGTGGACTGTTGTAAAGCCTTTGTAATTAATTGTCTTTTTAACATTATCGAAATGTATTTTGTTTCAAACCCCAATAACTGCAAATTTTAGTTGAACAGCTATATATAAAGGAGGGGAGGGGGTTAAAGCATAAAATGTTGCTTTATTAGCCTTGAGTTTCATTTCCTCAACTTTTTCTTGATATATATGCACATAGCTACAGCCTATTCAGAAGAGGAAAAAGGTTCATGAAAACTTCACTTAAAAAGAGCATTGTAAGAGCAACACCAAATGCATTGTGTGACTTTTTTTTCACATTTCAACACAACAAATCAGCTTTCAAAATTTTAGTAAGCTAACTTTACATGTATATATGAAATGTGGATAAGGTGTGGAGATTGAAATTCAGTTTTATTCATTATTTTCAGAGATAAAAAAAAAATACAGATGTTATTTACGTATTGGTCTTCTTTGTTAACTGTATATAATTAACACATTAACATAACACAACTGAGGAATGATGTTAAACATACAAGTAGCAATGACCTAATCTTTCAGTTAACTATTTGTATTGTTCGTAACCTATAATTTATAATGTTTGTATATTGCGAAAAGTGTAGTTTATTTAAATGACTTGTAGAAATAAATAAGATAAAAAAATAAATATATTTTCCTCTTACGCAGTCAAAAACTTTGACCAGAGTTTTACAAAATAATTACCAAAATTTGGTGCTAAAGGTTGTACATACATGAATACAATCATTTATATTTATTATTTGTGCAAATACATGCAATTTTTAAAACTATTATTATCAATGCACAGCTTGAAAAATGTTCATTAATACGGGATTTTTGGATTAAATGTATATAAATATATAAACACAGACAGATTTTGTATAACCTTTCAATTCTCATTGACAACTATACTTGGAATGCATCATCTGAAACACACTATCCTTTCACATTCTAGCATTATGTAAAGCTGATCCTTTGGAATAAAATAGTGTTGATGTAGTATGTTCACAGTCCAAGTGGTATGTGTCTTCTTCACATGCAGAAATGTAAACAGTTTTAAATTCATATGCTAGATTAAACAATTTTGATGGCAGTTGTACAGTGTACACTGAATTTGTTAACATATGTGAACATTCTTTGCTATTTGCTCACCTAGTTATCAAATGTAACTGGTTATTGGATAAGTGTTGAAACTTTTAGACTTAATGTATTTTTTAAGTTATAATAACTGGTAGTAATGTTTCTTTTTTAAGTTATGCAGTCATGACTCATGTTTATCATTTTGTATTTTATTAGTGTGATTACTGTTATTAGATGGAAAGAATTTTGGTACAATACCTTACCTCCAATTATGTAATAGCTTTTCTCATTCAGTGTTGCCATCTACGTGCACAATATTTTTTGCTTGCCACTAGCCTTGATACTCCCACTTACCCCATGTGTTTAATGCAAGTAAGCATGCAACAACCCTCTACCAATGGGAGTGTGACACACCCTCCTGATGCAGCTATACTGTAGAACTCAATCTTCGCTTCTCAATTTGGCACAGCAATGTAAAGATTTGTTCAAAATTTGCTCCTGATTTATTTTAAATTTTTCACATTTTATTCATTATCCTGTCCACTCCATGTCAGGTATTTCTCTTTGCACCTTTTTTAACCTGCTCAACCTTAGTTTCCATTTCTTACACTCTTTCATCCAGTACCTCTGTTACCACTTCTGCTATTCCCCTCCCTCCTTTGACAACTTCAGTTGCCAGTGTATCATCCCAATGTCCTCCACACTCTGGCTTCATATGTGCAATTTGTCCCATCCCTTGCAAAGCAGTATGCTCTTCACATGGGTAGCTTCCATTCCTTCCATTCTTTCTTATTGTAGTATCAGGGAAAATGGCAGGTTTTTCACAGGTAGTCTCCACACCGTAGTTACCTCCCTTCACATCCTACTGTTTCTTATTTGTCTGAATTTATCTGGCTTTTCGATAATTGTTTTTCTGTTTCTCCCATTTACGGCTGTAGAGCAACCTTGTCCAATACCTTCATTTTCTCCCATTTTTGTAGAGTTTTTTCTTCTCCAGTCCTCTTCCTTTTGTCTCCTTCGTCCTATGCCCCTTCCTGATTGGGACATCACTGTGGTTCCCCATGCCCTTACTGTATCTTCTTTTGAACCTTTGACCACTGTTTCCTGTACCATTTGTTCCTCAAGACCTATTTTTTATGCTTTTTTTCCCATGGTCATTGTCTGTCAGATAATTTCACCCTTGACTTATCACATGTCTTTTATCACGATACCTATGTTCTTCTGTATGCATATAGCAGTCTTTTTCCCTAGAAGTTGGCGGCTTGTGAAGATAATGTCACTTTCACCCCTATTTCCCTTCCTTCCATTTTTCAATTATATTCTCGTTCTGATCTGGATCGTGTCTTCTGTCCTGTTCATGTTCTACAATGTTATATTGCCCGCACAGCTTTTTTTCTTTGTTTCCCTTTCCTTTTTTTCTTTGGAACCCTTCTTCTCTCCACATGATATTTCCCCTACAATTCAGATTAGCTTATTCTTCCTTGTTTTCTGATTCCCAATGTCTTTTTCTAAGTGCTCTCTCATCTGGCATTTCTCCCTTTCCCTGGCTTCCCATTTCCACCGTCCATTAGAGGAAATCGTTCAGACTGGCATGTGGATCATGCCTGATACATTCATCTCCCATTACCGTCATCATGTGGCCATCTCTTCCTCATCTGGATACCAAATACTGCTTGTTGCCATTCTTTACACATCAGTTCAACTGTGAGTGGGTAAGATTATATTTCTTTATTTCCTTTTAGGGTCACTAATGCATATGTTGAATCTGTGGCAAGTGGTGCCTGTCCAGGTATACTAATCCATAAATCTGCATTGTGCAGCCATCCCAGTTTATAATGCCCATTGTTTAAGTGAGGTGTTACACAAAATGCTTGTAGGTTCATCCCTGGAGCATTTTACATCATAACTATGTCTGTCCCAAACTGTACCTCTCATGGAATTGAGTAAAACAGTGTCAGAATAGCTGTCCATCTCTCCAATCCTGGTTGAATAAATTGGGACTGGCCTGCTTTTAAAATAGAGTTTCTTAGTCACCCATTGCACTTTCTCCAGTGTTGCGTTCCTCCATCTTTGAGTGGAGTATGGGAGTCCTTGCCACTTCCCAGCTCCTAGCCACTAGGATGGTGGACTGTAGAGGCATACTACTGAGTGTGCTCAATCTGATTTAGTTGAGAGTAGGGTGGTGGTATTCTGTCAATGGTGTGAACCCTCCTTATACCACTGGCTGGATGTACAATACCTGATGCCACCTGGTTATGGACTGGAGATGATCCTCCAAAATGCATTCCACCCCTCCAGCTGTGACCCCTAATTCTACTGCTGTCCAGATGTCAGATTAGAGCTAAACCAGCCAACATAAGCCCTCACACATGGCTGGTAGGGAGCCCTCATCCTACTGCAGACTGGATGATAAATTTCCAATGCTGCCTGGTTTTGAATTTGAGTGAACCACCACATTGCATTCCTCCTTCCTACTGTTGCTCAGATGTTGGTCTCGAGTTGGCCTATGTTTTCGTTGTGTACTGGATTTGCACAGATTTACCTTGATTGGGTGTTTGGAGTGGAAGTTGGTTTCACTTCTGATTCCTAAGCTTGAGGCAAAAATGGTTGGGACCTTCTTCCTACCATGGACAAAAGACAAATACATGATGCTCCCTGGTTTTATACTGGAATTGAACCACTGATTAAGGTCTGATGTGCCCTAGCCACTGTACACTGTTTAGCATGTCCAATTGCTTGTGGATGTGCTCCTTCTTGTCTAGTGACACATATTTTCACAATGGGCGAAGAGTTTCCCTGTCTCAGATGTAGTGCAGTCTCCCATGGGTGTGTTCCTCTAAAGAGAAATGTCATACTTCATGGGCTCTCTTCAGATGCTTTCTCAAAGGTGCTCATTTAAGTAAAGTTTGTACTGGTCCATCCACTAAGTCAGTGTTGGATTCTAGCTATTATGTGAGAGTCGGTAAGGTATCTTATCGGAAATTATAATTTTCCTAAACTGAAATGTATTTCTGATAGTTACTTAACTCTGCTTATATTTCCCACCCTTATTTCCCACTGCTGTGCTTCTTTTTTGCCTAATTTCGAGGTGAAGATTGAGTTCTACAGTATAGAGGGAGCCAGCTGCTCCAGGAAGGTGTGTTGCACTCCAATTGGTTAAAGGTTGTTGCTGCTACAACATAACTGTACCATGTTAAAATGTGAGGTAGGTGGGAGTATCAAGGCTAGTGGTGAGCAAAAAATTTTGTGCATATAGAAGGCAGCACTGAACAAGAAAAGCTAATATGTGAGAGAGTGTAAGTATCTATTGTAAATACATTTTCTGTTTATGAAAATTATAACTTCCAATGTATAAACCAAAATCAGTCTTTAATGAGGGCTAAGTAAATATAAGTTAATCCCAATTAAAAATAAGTTATACTACTTGCATAGTAAAATAATTTCCCTATGGTTTCAAGGTATAACAAGATTGAAAACCACTTAAGTTTTTTTGACATAATACTTCACTCTTCGTTAAGTCAGCTAGACATTCATCTTTTAGAGGGACTAAAACAAGTATAAAAAGATTTAAATTTAGTTGCTTGAAAGAGGTTTTCTTGATAGCAGTGTTATATTTTGTCAGTTCATCCAAGTTAAGATTTATAGAACATAGAATATTTATTAGTTCTATTCACTGTTCTTTGTTTTGAAAATTTACTTATTTGTACATAACAAACTGGTTTATCTGAAGCACTAATATTTTCAAGTAGCTTTTTTCCAGTTTTCTTTAAAACAAAGTATAAATGATAGTTAATCAAATCTTTAAAAAAATATTAGTTTTGAGAAGCTGTATGAAACCATAGAAGTGTATTAAGATAACAAATAATAGCAGGTTAGGTTGATAAAACACAAAACATTTTATTTACAAGGTTTGAACATTTCAGAATACACTCATTCCATCTTCAGCAAAATCTTAAAATTGTGTTACAAAGGTGATTATTAACTAAAACTATAATATTGTAATCACTAGTTTACTTACTTATTAAGAAAAGTGGACAACAGAAGGATAAAACAAAGTATTACAGAGATATTGCAAAACAGTTGAGTTTTAAGTGTGTAAGTTTAGAATAATTTTAGATTTAAAGAGCTTTTTGAGTTATTAAGAGTCAGGTGGTCTTGAGCTGTGAGTAAACTTTCTTTAATGTAGAGTTCAAGGTCTGAAGATCCTGTAGTAATGACAAAGAAATCTTTATATGAAATATTGTGACTCGTGGGTTTCAGAATGTGAACGAATGGATGAATAACTGGGTTTAAGTAGTGGATGGTCAATTCTGTTAAATACTCCTAAATATTCACAGACTAGATTGTAAGTGTCCTTTTATTTTGCCAGTGTACATAACGTTACAGTCACTACACGTATATTTATACATGAGCCATGAATGTAGAAATTTAAAAAATTTATTTTTGTATTGAAACAAGTTTTTAATGTGGAAGTTAGGTCTGAACTGAATGTTAGGGTAGGTTTTTATTAGAGAGGAGAGTTGTTTTTAATTTGTAAGGATTGTGAACCCATATAAGGAAAGAAAATAATGAGGGAAAGTTTGTGGACAGTGTGCACATTGTATTAACTGCAGAGTTGTGTTTATAAGAGAAAAAACAGTTATGGTCTGCTTTTTATGAAATTTTACATGTACATGTTTACAGATGTTTTTAAAGAATCACTCTTCAGAACTAGATATGATTTCCAATAGTTAACAAAAAAACTGTAACACTGTTATAATTACTGCATTATTCTATTCCTTTTTTAAATCAATTTCATCCATTTAATCTGTATTTTAATTCCCTTCACAAAATGTTGAAACTTTAGAAAGTATTTTACCTTGTTTATATAGCTTGCTGAAGACGGAATACATACATTGCCAAACGTACAAGAATTAAATGTTTGTTACTGTCACACACACATCAAATGTTTGTTATTGTTGTCATACTATTATTCATAATTACTCCATATAGTTTTGAAAAGGTAGTTCTTTTAGAAATTTATTCTTCCATAATAGAAATGTAGTAATGTATACCCTTATCATCCAAGTAAAATTCAAAATACTTCAAGCTGAGAATTAGTTTTGAAGAATTTTGTAACCTAGTGAACCGAACTACAATAGTGGCAAAGAAATGTAAATGTGTCTGTAATTGAGCAATTATCTCAATGTGTTGTTTTTGTGATACATTTTCTATCTAATTCTTATTTCATAAATTTAGGTGCCAATATTAGTTAAGACTGAATTAGTAATCTTAAACAAAATAAATAAAATTGCTGATTTCTTCAGAGCCAGTCAAGTTTCTCGGTCATGGAGAAATATTGCAAGACAATCAAATCTTGTAAGTAACAAAAAATTATGAACTGACTTTTCTGTTTTACATCTAACACTAACTTGTTTTTGTTTCAACTGATTTTAATTTAACTCTCTATTAAACCAGTTGAAATAATGTGGATAGTTTGTCATCTAATAAAGTAAGATCATTAGATTTTTATACCAGGCATAAACAAGGGCTTAGAATATGTGATTCATTTACTGCTAACTTATAATGCATAAATGTAATTGAGAAGGTTAGTTTTTAGTTTTTCTTATTTATACAAAGTCATTTATTTCAGAACAACAGACCTACATAGTGTAATTAGTTTCATTTTTTCTTTGATGATTCAAGTCAAATTGTTTTTCAGCTATAATAATTTATTTCCACCTAAACATTTTAGCTGTTTTCCTGGTTAATTACCAACATGTAAACCTGAATCAGGTTTGTGTGTGTGTGGCCTGCTGATTATGGATATCTGGACTGTGAATATGAGAATGCATGATCTCTGTCCTGTTGCCACAAAAATTCATTACACTCTTTGAAGCAGTAGGTGTGCTGTAAGAGTAATTGTCAAGTTTCACTATTTGGTCAGATGAGAGTTGATAGTGGGTGCTGTTTTCTCATTTCCATCCCTGTAGTCTTCTCAGCATAAAGTATTGGATTGCTGTGCACAAGTAGCCCTTTGTGTAGCTATGCATGAAAATTCTGAAATAAACTAGCCTTCCTCCCCTTTTCCTTTTCATTAGAGATACAAAATGTGATCAGTCATCATGATTAGTCATGCTTAATGCTGTCTGTCATGTATGAGTTCATATTTCATCAAACTCTTAAACTTTTATATGTTTATCTTTGAACTTTAGAGCTTCACAGATGTGACTTCAGCTAGCGCAATAATGAACTTAGGTCATGTTCTTCATTATTTTATATATTTCTTGTTTTGTTTTTTTCTTATCTTTAGTCATGAACTCAGAATTTAGTGTACCTTAGAGATAAGAACAGTTACCCCAGTAGCTTAAGGAGCATCAGGAAATTGTGTTATGTTTTTCAGTACCAACTTTATGCTCTGGTTCTCATCTGGGGGAAACTTTCATTGCTTTTACTTTTATGAACTTGACTGCTCTCTACTTTTCTGTCTACTTCCAATATATCAGCTTTTCACAGGAGTCTGTCAAGTATTCCTCAGAGGAAAAGTTTTTGTTTAATATTGGAATTTTCAAAATTTTTAGTCAAATTTGTAACTCATTCATGCAAAAGGTACTTGTTTAAGGTAGGCTGATTTAAGCATAAGACCTATTTCACATGTTACCTCTGGGTTGGGATTACCAGGTGATGCACTTGGGAGTACATTTTTGCTAAACCATCCAGTTTCCATTATAAGTGTGGTTGCTGAAAACTACTTAAATTAGAGGTTATGACCCTTCACATTGGATCTTAGATGTATTGCCATGGAGCTATCAGTGGAGCATCAGGGATTCCATAGAGATTGATCCTAGTTTTAATGCTTATTCTATATCTTCTTATGGTTAGCAGTGTTAGAACATGCCTTCTGGCTATCTGTTTCTTAATTATCTTAATTATTTACATGATCCAAATCACTTGACCTTTGACTTTATTCAAGTTATCAGTGTGATAGCCACCCCCTCATCCTCGTATAGGTGGGGATTCTAGCTCTGTGTTTCTGGCAGAAGTAAATTCTTGTTTGAGATTAATGTTTTTCATGGTAAAATAAAATTTAGATAAATATTATCTCAACCATATTATTCCTTTCTTCCTTCTTCCACGTCTCCTGGTGGGATGGCATTAAGTTTATGGGCTTACAGTGCTAAAATCTGGTAAACACGCAGATAGCCCAATGTGGCTTTGCTCTAAAACAAATAAACAAATCCTTCGTATGCTTTGAAAAGTATCATAAGAAAAATGTGAAGAGAAAAGGTAGTCAGTTGGAAAAAATTATTCACTCTGGAGAATAATGTGAAGAGTTAAAGGTAGTCAGTTGGGAATATATTTAAGTTGATTTTACTAGTATTCTTCCAAACTAGAGGTGAATAAATCACTAATCAAACCTTTATATGAAGAAAATTTTGCAGATCATGCAGCATTGACAGTTAAGTGGAAAATATTAAAAATATCAACAGAAAGAACTAGAAAAATCTGTATCTTGGCAGGTAGCAAGGAAAATGGCTAAAATATTAAATAGAAGATATGTATTTGAATTTCACTTTTAAGGGTGTAAATAAAAATGTTGATATTTCATTTGATGCAACTAGTTTAGTTAGGTTCCATATTCATTGTGAATTGATCTGACTTATCCTTTTGGGTCTTAAAATTATTTTGCTGCTAGTCTTGACAGTGCTGTTAGTGTTTTTTATTAAGGTTCATATTGTCTTGTAATAATTGTGTTTATAACATCTTGGCCTAAACAGAATATTGTTGTATTATTTATTTGCTTCCTTTAACCCTGCGTTAGTCTTCCAGGGTCTTCATGGACCCCAAATATTTTGTAAACATCGGTGCTGACAGATGGAAGCACATACATGTTTGTTGTTCTCAGTAGCTTCATTTTTGACTAGTTTATGTTAAATTGTTATGCTTAGATTAGGTGGTAAAAAGAATCAAGTTGTAACATTCAATGTTCATTTATTGATTAATAAAGAAAAATATTTTGAGTGTTAGTGTTTTTGTTTCCAAAATAATAGTTTATTATTATTATTTAAATATTTAAAACTTTTTTATGATGGGGTCTGCTCGAACCTCGGAAGAGAGATTATGGAAAATTTTTACAGAAGGCTAATGCAAAGTTAAAACATTAGTATTTTGATAACTAGTTGTATGTATTAATTTGGTACAACACTTTTATATTGCAAGAAGTAACTATCTATTTCCTGTTTATTTGTTTATTTCCATACATGAAGCTTTATATTCTTATGTTGCTGCAGTCAATTTTATATTTGTTATTTAGTGTTTATTTTGAGATTTATAAAGACAACAATATGATAAAAAAAATAGTTTTTGATATTGCAATATCTGGGAAACTTTGCAAAAATGAATTTTTTTCTGTGTAAAGGACCAAGTTTGAAAGATCTTGTTTCAGTTAATTGTTATTTACATTGGGTAAGGAATGTATTTTGTTTTCATTACACAGACATGTTTAACGGTTTAAATCTAATTTAAAAACATTAAACATTGTGAGCAAATAGTAAGATAAAGACAAGTAATTATTTTTAAATTTAACATGAATCAATAATGAGAATTAACCTTTACTAATTTATAGCATAATACTTTTAAGTGAAAATAATGTTTCTTACTTCACAAAATTGTGTTAAACCTATTTTCAGTGGAAATCTGTGTGTTTAAAAGATCTGTACATAACCAATTGGGCCCGCTGTACCAGAACTTTACAACAATTCAACACAACTTCTCTTGTAAGTTTATCTTGTTATAGAATTCAAGTAATGTAGTGCACTGTCAAGTGTAAACATGTTTAATGAACAGAAGAAACCAATATCCAGTGAAAATTCTTTATATCCTTAATGTTTCACTTTTTGGCTTTATCAAGAGATAGACACCTTACTGAATACAAGCCCCAGTCTTGACAGAACAAACAACTGATATAAATCAAAATAATAAGAATGTGTTTATATCTGTTGTCTGATGTTACTACATTATTAACAATAATGAAGTAGTACTAATAAATGTATGACAGTAATATAGACATGGTAAAGAAAATATTAATTTAAAAGTGAAAACAAAAATATTAGTTATGTGAACAACCACATAGATACACTATTTAGAAAAGAAACAAAGCAGAAGTTATTAAAATATTCATATCCGCATACAGAAATAAACCATTTAAAAAATGACCACCCTCTATATCTGTTAATTGAAAGCTTATGATATAATGAGAAGGGACTTCTTGTACTTTCTGTCAGGAAACCATGGCATTTTCTTTCTATTCTAATGCTAAAAAAGGATGATTGGATTTAGGCAATCTGTGCTTATTAATAAAATGGGCTGGAGATGTTTCTTTCAGTACTCTTTTATAGATCTTAGTGTCACTAATATATTTTTTCTTACAAATATTGCTGGAGATACTGTCACCTATATCTTTCTCCATACATTTTATTTAAAAGTCCTAGATTACATACAATACAGTAGTTCTGCTGGCAAGGATTAGGGAGTGTAACTGCAGAGTGAATTAAGTATGATTTAAGTGAACACCCTGGTTTTTTTACAACATGTATAAGCAAACCGGATCCCCTCACATCATTCTTATGATATAGTTTACTTTAGAAGTAATAAACAAGATTTCATGTTCAACACTTTAATCTTGAATCCTGTTCTTTTGCCTTTGTTTGTTATGAATGGTGAAAATTCTGATAAAGCCATAAGGTGAAATGTTAATGAAATATAGACATTTTCACTTGACGCTGGTTGTTTCTCTTCATTATCTTGAAATACTCAGTTATTGTTTACTTGATATGAAAGATTTTTCTTTAATTTTAAAGATGGAAAAAGAGGTAAACTAAAAAAACCTAACATTTAAAATGATGAGTAAAATAATGCATCAACTACCTGTTTGTATGCAGATTAACTATACATCTAAATATTAACTCATTTAAATCATTACACAAGAAATACTTATGCTACATATAATATATTATAAATATTGCTTATGGATAATATTCAGAAGATTAAATACATAAAGAGTTTTTCATTTTTATATTCCAGGATTTAAGAGATGTTAAGCATATAGAAGATTGTGTAACTTTCTGGCATTACTTCATCCAGTGTTTGGAAGACTTGAGAAATATTCGGTTTCTTACATTTGGAGAGGTAGTACCAGAAGTTTTACCAGCAGTTTTTGAAACAATTACTCAACTCCGAAGTCTCACCGCTGAATGTGTCACTGAAGCCATGGGGCCATCAGTCTGGTTAGTTGGTTGTTATTTTTTACTCCCTTTCAATATGTCACATGAAGAATGTTACAGTAATTAGTTTTTATTCTTTATTGAGAAGTATGTAGTAACACTAATATTTCTTCTTAATGGAGATATAACTTTTATATTAGAAGTTGATTGATTTGATATTCTGGTGCTCTTAAAAGCATTAAGAGCACACTATTTCATATGAATTATTTTATGTATAAGTAATGGTTGCTTTAACTGTTATTACATTGACATTCTGATATGCATTAGGCTATGGAATCTCTTAAAATAAACATAAAAACTACTTACTTTTTTATCCAAAAAAAAGCCTTTTCATTTAATTAGAAATAAAAATTAGTCTTAGTAAGAAAATAATATTTTTGTTGGAACACTTGCTTAAGAAAATAAAGATCTGATGCCTGTCATATGGGGTTACTTAATGGCACAGAAATCCTTCAAAAGCATGGAATTTAATATACCTGCTTTCTATGTGTGAAAATAATATATTTGTTGCTTGTCAATTTTGTTTTTTCTTTGTTTGATAACTGTAGTATTCCCTTATTAAAATACATGTTTTGGGGGACACTATCTTATCTGTATTGTAGATAATATCCATGTTGAAATAAATTTCCTGAATGTGAATATAAATGCATAGTGCATAATAATAATAATGATACAGTACTCAGGCAAATATTTCAAAGTGTGCTGCAATGATAGTGATTTTTTTCTGATGCAAATGTTTAAGTTTTACCTCACTTTTGATTCATCATCTTTTGCTCAAGTAATAACAGCCAGTTTTTCCTTGACAAAGTAACGTGTTTAGGCATAGTGCTTTCTTCTTGTCAACTATTATCATAAATAAACTGAATGAAACTGGTACTAGGGAGTTCAATATGATGTAACTTCCAAAGAAGGAATATGAACTTGTTAAATTTTTTGCTGTTTGAGCATATATTTGAAATCAACAGATTACAATCACACATGGTCACATTTCTGCTGTTCTTGCAAATCCTTATTAAGTAAACAACAGTAAATTACAGTTGTAAAGTTTTCACGTTGGACTTTTGCACCTGTCAACTCTGGAGACAGATATTTACTTGACAGTGGTGAAATTTCATGAACAAATTGGCAGATAAGCAAGGAAATTACATAGGTCCTATAATTTCAAAAATTGGGAGAACCCATAGTGTACATAAACTTACACACATTACAGTTATCTCAGATCAGTTGTTGTTTAAGGTTTAGTCTGAAATTGTCTGTCAAATCTGAACTTAAAATATTTTCTAACCATTGTGTATTAGACATGGTTCTAAAATTGTGATATTTTACAGATAGTGAGATTGATGGCTATTTATTAATAGTGGAAAGTACAATTTACACTATGGAAAAAAAAAGCTTTATAATTGTCTAACTCAGACAAGAAGATCAAACATTTTACATAATAAAAAACTTGAAATTTTTCAGATTTTCAGTGAAATCAGAATGGTATTTAATGTGGTTAAGCCTAAAAATATAATCTTGTTTTAAGTATCTTTGAAGTTTTGGTTTATTATTTGTAATTTTCATATCTTATGTTTATAATATTTTAAAACTTCTTAAAATTCTAGGGATGTTTTTCAAATTATTCTTTGGGAAAGGTAATTTAAGATGCTATAAGATATTAATAAATATAATGATTATTCTGTTTTTAATGATTTATTAGGTATTCAAATACATTTATTTTGATTTTGCTATAAACCTTGGACCGAGAATTACAAACTTTTTTTAATATAAGCTGCCAGGGTGACTACACCATTGTATGTTATGTATTTCTTTTACTATGGAATGTACAAGATATTAATTCAAAAAATCTTGTAAATTAATTTATTCAATGTAAAAATGCATCACTTGCCAATCATTAAACATGAACAAAGAAACGTTTTCAATACTTCTTTTCCTTATAAAATCTTATCTAATTTTTATAGCTGTTGACTATTTTCTTGGCAAGTATTATGTGAAAACTTAAAATTAAATTTTTATAGTTTTTTTTTTCTATCCAACTTCTATAGCTAACCAGAATTACCACTCCTTACAATGAACCAGAACAGATTGTAAATTAAACTAAATTCCTAAAGTTTGGAAAGTCCTGACAAAATTGGAATAAGTGACAACTGCACTTGACTGTTAGTATAACCTCTGTGTATATGGTACACTGTAGACTTAGTAACACACGACACTCCACCTGCATACTTGAATATTGGAATTATTTTGGGTGTCAAAAGTTACATGAATACCATAGGTTTGGAACTCTTGTTCTAGACCATATAATACTTAAAATGAGCAGAGTTCACTTTTCAGAAACTGAAAGCTTAGTTGTGAAAGTCCACACACACACACACACACACCCTCCCTACTGAACAATTATTAAGGTTTTTCTTTGTTTTTGTATAACAGAAATGAAATAAAAGGTCAAAGGAAGATTATCCATACATGATCATAAATTGATAATTCTTTGTTCACTTTACTTTTTAATCAGATGTTTTCAACCATATTTTAATGTGACATGTCATAAGTTATGATTATTATAATCTCTGATTATGCTGACTAATACAGTTCAGTTTTGTTAACTTAACAGATCATTGTGTTTCAGGACTATGTTGTGTAAAATTGACTTCATTAAAATTAGAAGACTTACCAATTTGAACTCTTTGTGGATAAGGAGTGGAGGTGGGCTGCGACTCTCACCATTATTATCCAGTGGGAGTATACGGTGTTTGGGAAATCTTAATATGCTTCGACATCTGGTAAGATAAGAATGGTTTGTTATCATATTTTTTGTCATTATTAAAATAACAGCATAACTATCTATTGCATTCTTGATCGTGAAAAGCCAACTAGTTAACCATGGTATTTAGGCCTTCTTCATATGTTGGACTCGTATGGACACTCTGCTCGTTCCACTTGTTTATGTAATATTTTAAATAAGCAGCTATCTTAATTATGTTCTAAATGGCAAAAAATTCATATCTCATAGTGACCAGAAAAACCCTTGTGTAACAAATACTTCCTTTTATAATCTTGAATGATAAGCCTTAAAATGATATAATAATTTAGTGAATAAGTTTGGGAAGAATATTCACTTGTGATGATAAGAAATATTTAATTGTAATACTGGCAGGAAATCTATTCTCATGTTCAACTTGTAAATATTGTCCGTTTTAATGTATTTCCTTATTTACTACATGATTGTAAGCATTTTTCAGTGATATAAACAGTTTTAGACATTGTTTCAAGTTTGTAATTGTACTGATAGTTTATAAATCAGATATCATTAAAGTACAATACAATTGTAAAGAGGAACTTATTAATGGTAGTGTTTTTCAAAAGATGGTTAATCTGTATAAATAGAATACAGTTTACACAGATGTCTTTAAACTCAGGACAGGTATTTTTACTTGTTCATTTTTCTATATAATTACTTTGTTCATAAATGTTTTCTAGTTTTATTATGTGTGAATTTTAAATGCTTCTTATTTGTGTATATTTTAGCACCTTACTACTCTTGTTGGTGCCCCAAGTGAATCATTTCAATTCATTGAAAAGCTTCTACTCTTAGAATCTTTAGCAATTGGGAACTGTTATTTCTGGAACAGTTGGGTAAGGTTTTAATCCAGTAGTTTTATTTTTGAGTTTACATATTTGAATGATTTATAACTGCAATAATACTACATCAGTAATAAGGAGACTTAATATTACAATTTGAGTAGTAATATGTAGAAAAGTTACTTGTTGAGTTATTACAAAGTGAAATTATTTTATATTTCTACCCAGTTTTGGAACTTATTACTTCATTACAAAAACTTTTTCTTTCTTTCTTTCTGCCAACACAGTTGTGTTTGGTTATTCATTTTGAATTATGAATTCTAATTCCCTCTTCGAAGGTTATATGTTCTATCAGCACACTTACACAGGTTTTGTTGATAGTAATCCACAGGAAAATTATCGGCTTTACTTTGTCAGGAGACTGATCATCCAATTAGCTGACCTTCGTCAGGCTTTGCCCTTGAGTTTGGGGTCCAGAACATTTTGCAATACAGTCATCCGACTTTGGAAAGATAAGATGTTATATTTTTATGGTTTTTGAATAATTTTATTGTTAATATTATTATCTATAGTTATTTGGGTTCCATAACATAAGTTTCATTTGATTGGTCAAATACTTATAGTTAAGTTCAGGTTCAAAATTATGCTTAGTTGTATTCTTTGTCCTGTAGCATTTGCTTAGGCTTACCATGGGTTTTTGTTATTTTAGGATTACCTTTAATTCATCTTACTGGTATTTAAACTCTTTTTGGTTGTTCTTTTGTTTCATTCTGAGACATTGTCATCTTTATTCATTTTCCATGTCCAGCACCTTTCCATCCTACCTGCTGGTTTTTGCCATTCGTCATACATGTTCAACGCTGATTGGAGTTCTGGATCAATCAGCCCCACCTCAATCACTTCTTGGGTCTTTCCAGTTTTAATATGTAGTCTTTAATCACATTTAGGTAGGCTATTTCTGCATGACTGAGAATGCCCATAGTACACATTCTTATTTTTCATTTCTCAAGATGCTATCTTGGGTGTCTTCACCATGTGATTTGGTACTAGTTTTGTGCCTTGCCCTTTGGACCTGTTTCGGTTCCATATCTCTGTTGTGGGGTTGTCTGTGTTTTACCTGACTTCCACATTTTGGGGGATTTTACCTACACCATTAATTGGATGTCTAGCTTTGGTTAGCTCCTTCCAAATAGGGGTAGTCTTAACACCTTCCACAGTCAGCTCCAGTAGTTGGATTTTCCATTTGTATAAGTTTTTCCTGTTATATACCTCACATTCTAGTCTCTTTGGGAAGTGTATTTTTAAACACCCCCTCCATCAGGACCATCCATTCTCCTCCTTGAATTCATCTAATGGAGTTTTCTGTTAACTGAGCCATCATTTTGGATTTTTCTCAATTTTCATCCTTCCCTCTTTTAGCTCTCTGTGTTGATAGTTGAACATATCCTCCACAAAGTTGGGTTTACCACTTCTCCTCTTCTGGATTGTTTCTCTTCCCTGATACTCATCTCCAAAGGTGGGGGCATGGTTCAATCAGTAGGAGGCTTTAGGACAACTGTCTTCAGACAAAAAGTTTTATCACCTTCACACCCTGGCATTTCTGCCAATTCAGTGTGCTTTAGTTCTCTCCTGTCTGGATTTGGCTAATCATGTTTCATTCCAACTATTAGATGGTGGTGGCTTATATTACTTACCAAGGGGACACTCATTTTTGTTCCCTTTGTATTAGACATTGGATCTCCATTTTGAACCTACACACTTGACATAGGTCTCCTGGAGGGTTGTGTTCCAGATGCTTTTGCCCTCGTTGGTGATTGACTTTCCAGCCCCGACACACTTTCTTCCAAGGAGTGACCTCTCGATCCTCCAAGTTTTTGGTGGCTCAGCCTCCTGTGGGGTACCCCTCCATGTAAAGTTTTTGAATCTTTTATCAATTCCAAGTTACCTCTTTTGTTTTTGGTCTCTAGTTCATCATCCACTTGCCCTAGCTGTCTACATTCAGACAGGATTACATCCAGTTTATAATGTTAGTTCTTTTCTCATTCCAACAGTCTTCTTTTCCAAATGTTTGTTCATCCTTGTCACTCTGATTTATCCTTCCTGGCTAGCACAGATCTGATTTTCATGGCTGTTTTGGCTCCATATGTTTTTTTGTTCTGGTTTGATTTTATTAACCTACTCATGTGGTATATTCGTTTCGACTTTTTCGTTTCTTTCCATCTTCCGCTTTTATTCTAGATTGGATTAGATGACATTCTCTGTACAGTACATGCTGTGGGTTGTTTAATTGCTTTCAAGGCTTCTTTCCATTGAATCCCTTTCCCATGGTTTCCTTTCCTTACACCATTTCTTTGTCTGTGATTTTTTTTTCCCCTTCCTCTCTTATTCATTGGGTTTGGATTGCGATTTGATTGTCCTTTTATTCCTTGTATCCTTCTTCCTATTATCAATTTGTGGAGCCTTCACTCCAATTGCACCTTCCCTTTTCACTGCATATCAACCCTGTTGTCCATTGCAGGTACTTCATCTGTTGAGCACTGGGACTACACCTCATACGTTCAACTCCCATTCTCTGCTTTGGGTAGCTGCTTCTTCCTTGTTGGGGTATTGTCACCCACTTATTGCCATCCTTTACTTTTCAATGAGACTGTGACTGGATAAGATACCTTTTAGTATACATATACCTCTTATTTTTCAGGGGCATGTCCCTTTTTTTTTTTTAATGGATCCTACTCTGTGGCATGTGGTGCCTGTCCAGGTATAGTTAAACTAGTCTAAGCTGCACTGTAAGGCATGATGACTTAACAATTATAATTTCCATGGCCACTAAACACACACTACTGAGATGGGGTGTTCCACAAGATCGCTTGTAGATTTGCCCTCGTGATATACTTGCTACATTAACCCGATGACTACCGGCTACTAACTTTCTTAG